TAAATTTCAGCAAGCACTGTTAAATTCAATAGGAGTGACAGAAAAACGGTTCTTGATATAGAAAGGTAAATAAATTATTTAAACTATAAAGTAAAATCACTTTATTACAAATCAAAATAGCCCAGTAGCTTTATTAACATGACACATAATTGTACGAGTGCTTACAATACTTAACATTATTTTACTGAAATCTCAGAAAGTTTTTTTTTAATAGAATAAGGGTGACAAACGAGCACACAGTCCACCTGATGGTAAGTGGTTGCTACGGCCAATACACATCTACATCTATTCTCGATTACGTATCAAAATGTAAATACGTTGTCACCCGTGAGGACTAAGATGTAATACCTCGTTTCCAGTAAAAAGGTTCTCCGGTTCTCTACACTCACCATACGAAACACAGCAGGGTTAAACTGCTATTTTACATGTTATTCCGTGACAGCGTGGTCCTTCCTCGATCGAGCCGACCCATTCGTGCTACAACCATACCTACTACTAATATAGCTGCAGCATGGCTCTACCACGTAAGAAAAAATTGATGTTGAAAATTTAAGTATTTTTAGAAGCAACTTTGCAATTATTTTCTATTGAGTTAATTTTTGTGGAATCGTGTTTTGCAAACCGCCACCTGAAATACGTACAATTTTTTTTCGATAATGACGTGAAATTACAAAATGATCCCTATGCATTTCAATGTGGCTCTATTCAGCCTCTTAATATGAACATACCTCGGAATTCAAAGATTTTAAAAGTTTTCATGCGTAGATAATGGAAGATATAATATTATATTATTACTGTCCCGTGTGAGGCAACCTTTATACTTATATACATATTCTCATATATATTTTTATGATTGGTTAGAAAAATTATATCTAAATGCAAACTTTCATAGGGTAATTTTTTTTTACTATTTTTACCCAACAAGTAGTAAAGCAACTAACTACAATCCCATCGATAAGTGGTTATGTAGTCTAAGATGGTGAATTGCACTGACTTAACAAAAACCTATTTACTCTTGCCTAATAGTACTAGGTAAGTATTATTTGCGACCTATTTGTGTGTGTGCGTGTGTGCGTATGTGTGTGTATGTGTGTGTGTGTGTATGTGTGTGTGTGTGTATGTGTGTGTGTGTGTGGGTGTGTGTGTGTGTATGTGTGAAGAAAAGCGTATGAGAATACGTGAAGAGGTATAAAGGTTGAGTACTAATTCGCTTATCTGTACGAGGTTGCCACTCGAGGACCTTTCTTCCTATTTTTTATCTGTTTTCCAAGTTATATAGCTAGCCCATTGCCATTTCACTGTAATATTCCGTTGGGCTATGTCAGTTATCACGTAGAGAAACCCTTCTCCAATTTAAAATTTTTACATTTTTTAGATGATAGTTTGTCTACCATAAAAAAACCATAAACCCAAGAATGTCTTTATATAGTTATTTATACTTAGGTAAGCACCATTCTTTTATTTATTTAAATTGTTTGATTTAATTTAATAACAGTGTACCTAAATGTAAGTATCTGTATCTTTATTTCCCTCTCCAATAATATTTTATAAAGTCATACTCATAAAAACAGCGTTTTATTGTAATACATAATTATAAAATTCAGTATCAACTAATTAATAAAAATATGCAACAATAAAATTACATAGGTATTAAAAACTATCGCAATCTAAGTAACGAGAGCATGTTCGTCGTTCCACATCTAAATTATATATAAATGCATTTTTCAATTTCACTAATCAACGTCGCCGTCATAATTTCTTCTTCTTTGGGCACTTTAAAAATTCATTTATTTAGAAAATAATATTTACAGTTACCAGTGTACAGATATTAACTAAATTAAGTATTTCTAGTCATAAAAATATTTATAATTGAGTATAAACTTTTAAAAAACTAATATATATTTGAACGAAGTCGCTCCAACACCGACGTGCGATCCACCCTTGACGATGTCCGAAAACGGACCAAACGGACTGTGACAGAGCTTACATGGCGACGGAGCATGCGCGCTCGCGTAAATATATTCAATTTCAGGGAAAAATGATATATTCTCTTATAAAACGGGTAATAAAAATAAAACTCTCAATTAAAAATATTAATATTTTTAAGACCTTTTTTTTAGTGTAAGAACTATTTAAAAAGCTTGTGCCGTTTTGGAGAAATTTTGCAAAATATGACAAAGATAGGTAATCTTTGGGGATTTTTTTTCTAATAAGGGGTTGACAAAAATACAATTTTCTTAAATTAAAAACATTTACCAAATCTTCTTCTGTTACCCTGTATTTTTTCTTTGTGGATTAAATGAACAGTTATTGAGATTTTTTTACTTAAATATCCTAGATTTAGGCATTTCAACCACTGTTAAGGCCTTAATACAAAGTAACCATCTGCCTGACTCATCACTTAACCTATTTCTATGTTTTCTAATTACTAATGATGCTTTAGAAAATAATCTCTCAGCAGGTACTGAAGTTGCAGGTATTAAAAGAAAATCACGGGCCATCTTCGATAAAATCGGATATTTTGTCTCATGCGTCCTCCAACAGTCTAAAATGTCTTCCGAGATGACGGCTCTGGGTTTACCTAGGTACCCCTCCAACTCCTTAATAACTAAGCCTTGAAGACAAGATCCAGATCCATTTTTACACATTTCAAGTGTTTTAAAAGTGCTATGGTGTCAACCATATTTATCAAATGTGTGACGACATATTCGAGCACTTTGTGTTTTAAAAACACACACTTGCAAAAGTCGAGATTTGCAGTGATCTTACTGAACATGTTTATCTTTTAGGTAATAATAACAACAATAATAGTAAGTAATTATTATAAATCCATATAGTTAATTTTATAGTAATTACTTACTAGAATAAATTATTATGATACCTACCTATTATCTAATTACAATATTTCTTGCGAGATCAGGATAATGTATTCGTGTCTTAACTTATTTTATTCTTTGAAACATGTACTCTGTGGCGGCAACCAAACAGTGTCAAATGTAGTGCGTGTGGCGCGGCGGTGACGGTGCGATATCAATAGTAGCCGCCGGCACGTGTATCTTGACCTTGTACTTTCGAATAGCTGCACAATTACTATTAACAGGTCAGTATCCGACCTTTAATGACGCCGACAACAAGACGCCGCGCACTATCAAAGTGCCGATGGTCAAAACTAGAAATGCACTCTTTTTTCTTTTAATGGATATTTTCATTCGCTAAGTATGTTTATGGTATTGTTCGTAATGCGCATAAGTCCAATTTTCCAATTTTTTTTCATTATATTTTTTTTGCGTCTCAGTCCCTAAGCGTATACCCGAACTCCTATACTCCCTGAAACGACACTTAGTCCTAACTGCAAGACGCAAGAGTCTCGCAAGCTTAGTCTTGTTCTTGCGCAAATCTTGCACGGTCAGTCTTGGTCTTGGTCTTGCTAAAAAGAGGCGGTCTTGTTCTTGCAAAAATGCAAGAACAAGACCAAGACTGCAAGACCAAGACCGATTTTGGGCAACACTACCTGATGGTAAGTGGTTGCTGCGGCCCATAGACATCTACATCTATCCTCGTTTGCGAATCAAATGCCTTAATTCCAGTGAAAAGGGCCTCCGGCCACCTGTACTCACCAAGCGAAACGCAGAGGTAAACCTCTACTTCACGCTGGTATTCTGTGAGGTCGTGGTACCACGCCGGTTCGAGCCGGCCCATCCGTGCGACAGCAAAAGCTGCCGCGTGGCTCTACCACTGTTAAAAGCACTGACTGTGTTGGGAGTGGTTTATGACAATAGTCGAATGGCCCGAACGTTCGAACCCTCGACGTTCTGAATTTTTAGCCTCAAGTTTGTAGCTACATGGCAACCATTTCAAGAATCTTGGGTGTTGGGACTGGTACTGATAATGCATCGTCAGGGGTTACCGATCTTGCCAATGCCAACCCATTATTAGAGTTGCTAATTTTATTATTCAAATATTTTATTTAAAAAAAATATAGTACATGGAAAAATAATAGTTATTTTAACAAAAAAAAAAAAAATGACGACCTGGTGAGACATGTGAAGCCGATGGATATAGGCAGCATTCCATTAAATTGCACAAGGACATAAATCCAGACTTATTTTGTTCCGTGTGGGATTCGAACCCGCGGCCTTTGACGCCGCAACTCATTGCTAAGCTACTGTACCGACATCTTATGTGGAAACTATTTTATTCTTTTTAGTTATTTGAAATCTTCTTTTACTTTTAACTAAAAGTTAATGTTATTCCAATAGGGTACCACAAAATTGTGCAGATGTAATGATGCTCACATCAATTTGTATTTAAACCCACCAGAACTTATTATGAATACAGTACAATAAAACAAGTTTATTTTAAACAAATTTAATTTACAATTCATATTCAACAAACAGTGCAAGCCATTGTCAAAAATCACTAATTGTGCTTTAACTCTGCTCAAAAAATCGAAAGGCATTACAGGACTGAAACAAATGTTTACTAAAATGTGAAATATAGTTAAAAAAGTCAAGTATAATTAAAAAAAAAAAAACAATAATACTGTATTGTTAAGAAAACAGAAATATATCCTCTAATACATTTAATGCAATATGCTTAATGTCCATGAATTAATAAAAAATAATCTGATAATTATTTAGTCAATATATTACAATATAAATTTATTAAATATATTTTCGCATACACTATAAAGATATATACAAAATTTTAAAAGTTGTATAATATACAAAGCAAACAGAACAAAAGACAAGCGAGGTAACCAGGCATTACCCTTTTTTAAAAATAAAATAAGAGACATGACTATGCCAAAATAATGAAATAAAGGAATGTTTATACAAAATTGGAATCATTTTATCTTATATTAAAACTTGAATGTTTACAAATAATATTTAAAAATATAATTCATACGAAATGACTTTAAAATTTAGTTATGCTGTAAAAAAAACAATTTAATACAAAAATTTACATGATTTAAACGAGACGCTTCTGACTTCGGTTCTTTAGTTCCTGTTCAGTTCATTTAAAATGCGCAGTATATATAAGAACAGGTTGATGATGTCCATGTAGAGGTTGATTGTTGCCAGAATGTACTCCTCGGGAGACAGTGTGGTCATCATCTGTTGGGTGTCGAAGATGAGGAAGAGGCTGAAGAATGTTGCTCCGGTAATAGAGAGAGCAACTTCAAAGGCCGAACTCTGGATGAAGATTTGGAGTAAGCCGCCGATGATGAGCACGCTAAGGCCCGCCACAAGGCTGTGTTATGATTTAAAATTCGGTTAAGACATTTAATTAATCCTTCACAGACATTAAAAACGCAAATAATGTATTCGAACATAGCAGTATGTACTCTATACATATTATTTAAGTAAATGTCAAATAAGAAAATATAATACACTTACCCATATCCAACAAAGGAGAAATCGCGCTTGGTGTTGAGCGTGAAGAGTGTGAGCGAGAAAACTACAGTGAATGTGAGAGCAAGCGCTTGTAGCACTATGAAGGTATCATAGAAGGAGACCACCACGCCTACTGTGTACGCCTGCACCGCCGTCTAGAAAATATATATTTTTATAATCAATAATAGAATTCAAATCCATATCATGTCTTTAAAAAAAAAGAAAGAAAATGAAAACAATATGAAACTAAATGCTTACAATAATTTAATAAATAATTGGTAAGGAAAAACTTGATGTCTGTGTGAAGAACTAAACAGTATGGTTAAGGAAAATACTCACAAATGCAGCCAGCAGATATAAGTTGGCAGGGTAATCCCGCCGCTTGGCAATGAGCGCGAACAACGTGACCAAACTCAGGATGAAAGCAATAAATACCATCCAGTCACTGAAAGATAAAATTCATCATCATCATTACAGTCTTTTATAAGTCCACTGCTGAACATAGGCCTCCCCCAAGGAATGCCACAAAGCACGGTCTTGAGCCACCTGTATCCATCGACTTCCTGCATGTCTTACCAGGTCGTCACTGCATCTCGTGGGGGGTCGTCCTACACTTCGCCTACCGGTACGAGGCTGCCACTCAAGAACCTTTCTTTCCCATCGGTTTTCGGTTCTTCGAGCTATATGGCCGGCCCACTGCCACTTCAGCTTACTAATCCGTTGGGCTATGTCAGTTGGGCAGAGAAACTCCGAGCATAGCCCTCTCTACAGCTCGCTGAGCGACCTTGAGCTTCCTCATACGGCCAGCAGTGAAGGACCACGTCTCAGTTCCGTAAGTCATCACTGGCAACACGCACTGGTTGTACAATTTTGTTTTAAGGTTTTGAGGTATGTCTGACGAGAAGATGTGTCGTAGCTTCCCGAACGCTGCCCAGCCGAGTTGAATCCGTCGATTGACCTCTCGGTCGAAGTTGGACTTACCTAGTCTGACTATTTGTCCCAGGTAAACATACTCGTCAACAACTTCGAGCTTAGTGCTCCCAACAAGGATAAAAAAAGAATCATCAAAATCGGTTCACCTGGAAAAAACTTACGAGGTAACACACATAAAAAAATAAAGTTGAATTGAGTTCCTCCCCCTTTTTGAAAGCGGTAGAAAAGTAGCTAGATGCATATGTTTCAGGACCATGATTTTATCGAAAAATAGACAGTTCATACATCTCTATCTCTATATAGTATAAACCAAAGTACAAGTAAACTTACAGCCGTCTGTACGCTTAGTTCTTTTAAACTACGCAACGGATTTTGATCAATAGACAGAATGATTCAAGAGGAAGGTTTATATTATGTATAATACATGCATATTATATATTTCTTCGGTGTGTGTATAATACATGCATATTATATATTTCTTCGGACTGAACTTCTCCCAAACAGCTGGAGCGATTTTGATGAAATTTTGTATGTGATTAAGTTGATTGGAGAATGGGTTTGACTCACAATTGGACCCGGTAGGTGGCGTTGTTGTCGAGATCCAGAAAACAACTGTGCGAAGCCGGGGCGGATTGCTAGTTCCAGTATATGCAATGTCATGTAGTATAAAATCATAGTTTATTTAAATCAATACAATTTTATTTACCATAACACGAAAAAAGTGGTCCCCTTTTAGAATATTCCTAAGGACCAATTGGCATCTCTCGTCAGAGTAGTATATATCCCTTGATTAGCATTTATTTCTTACAGCTACTATTTATTGATGCTGATAGACTGTATCTGCTATCTCTTTTTATGTCTTTTATCTATGATATGATAACATTATATATATAGTGTGTACATTGGGGTTATATAATCATTTCGTCAAATGTGTTTGAATGTCTTATCTTTCCTAATTAAATAGTTCGAAGACATACATTCCTTTTGTAATTCAAACATATTCAGCATCTAAATAACAGAAACACTTACAAATATTTTAATAGTTTGATTAGCAGTTTTTTCTTCGAACCAGTGGTAATTAAACAAAAGAGTGACTTTCAATAAGTATTATTTGTAATCTATATTAAATAAAAAAGTTTCTGTTTCGGTTTAATAGACTACTAAAATATCAAATTAGCTCAACAGAAACAATTAATTAATAATTAATATATAAATTTTACAGTAAATATCAATAATAACATGTTGATTGATGTGCGATCCATGGTAGCTCAGGGTCAAGCGCTAACTGTGAATTGCACAGTATGCGATCAACCTAGGTATGATCTCCGCTGGCTTAATGAAATTGTTAATTGCTATTTTAAATGCTAATTTACCACATGCTCGGAGGTGAAGGAAAATATGGTGAGGAAGTCTGCATATGTAAGAAATTAAAACATTGTCAGTAATGAGAGGAAAGACAACGAATTGGAGTTAGTCTTCAGCTGTTTGTATCTCATAGTTACAAACAACAAGAACGTTTTTACTGCCGACTTCAAAAAGGAGGAGGTACTTTATTCGGCTGTTTTTTTAAATGTGTGTTACCTCATAACTTTTTTCTTGGGTAACAGATTCTTTTTTATTTCGATGATGAAAGAATCGTGGTAAGTTTTTATGTGATAAAAAATTTAAGATAATAAAAATTATCTGGATTTATCTAGTGCCGCTGATATTCGATCCGCTTGATTGTTACCCGATCGTGATTTTCAATTAGAATTTTAAATTAGAGAGTAAGCTTTTAAAATCTGGTTCAAAACAATGTCAGTTTGAACTGAAACTGAATCAAATTCAAAATTAATTCCAAGAGTAAGCCTACATGAATAAAGAAATGTTAATGAAATAAAAATATAATCATACTTTTTATGTATAAATTCCTGTACAGGTTTTACAAGCAGAAAGACTGCTGCAATGGCTACTGTCGCTAGTAGTTGTATAGTGAGTAGGCCATAGACCTTACGCACAAATCCCAAGCGAATCTCCTTGTCAGCATTAAGGACATTGTTACGATATGCGAAATCATCCTGTAAAGAAAAAAAAATATCAGATTTGGAACATTAGTTTCGAAAGTAATTAATTGAATCTCTAAAGATTAGGCAGTTGGGAGCATAAAGTAGGGCGTAAAGCATAGTGGAACACTCTTCAAAGAGGCCTTAACCTTTGTATTGTTGTTCCTCTGAGGTGCAAATAATATTAATTTTATATATGGTAAAGCCACACTATATTAAAGCTGCAGCATGAATGGGTTGGCTCAAATGGGGTAGAATCTTGCCATTACAGAATAACTGTGATACAGCTGCAAAATAACTAACACCGCTGTATTTGTTACGGTGAGTGTAGAGAACTGAAGAGCCCTTTTTCTGGTAATGAGGTATTCCATCTTAGTCCTCAGGAGTTACGATTAATTTGCATTTTGAATCTTAATTGAGTATAGACGTTGAGTTTAAGGGCTTGAGCACCCACTTATTGTTAGAATTTTGAATTTGTATTTTAAATTCTAGAAAAACATTAATTTCTAACAATAAGTTATTGATGAAATAACTAAGATTTGTTAAAGCACTTGTCCTATGGATGAGGTGCTATTCTAGCTATTTTATTTACCAAGAAAGTTTAATTTGGGCTTTGTAACCTGGTGTTAGGAACAACCATTTTAACTTCACTTCACTTAAATTTTTTTTTTAATATTAGATTACTCATTCAACCTATAGAAGGATATACTATATCAATCTCTCTTTTCCACATAGACTGATTAAAAAGCTTGCAGAGTGTCAGACTGTTCACAGGAATTACATGAATATTAATGCTCCCACCTTCTTGTTTTGGATGTAACTAGTATTCAGATAATGCATACCTACTTCATATTTTTTTTATTATAGAATAAGTGTGACTAACAAGCATACAGTCCACTTGATGGTAAGTGGATGCTGTGGCCTATAGACATCTGCATTAATCCTCAATTAAGAATCAAAATGCAGATGCGTGTTCAACACCGGGGACTGAGATCTTATGGCTCGTTGCCAGTAAAATGGGTCTCCGGTTCTCTAAACTCACCATACGAAATGCAGCAGCATTAAGCTGCTATTTTACGCTGGTAATCTGTAAGTGTGGTCCTACCCCAGACGAGCCAACCCATTTGTGTTGCAACCACAATATAGCTGCAGCATGGCTCTACCACGTAAAAACTATGTGTCAACTATGACCAATCCCCGACAAGGTAATCTATATTGGAGCCCTATGTCCAGTAGTGTACTTTTAATAGGCTGTAACAAATAATTGATTGAATAAATATTCTCCATAATTTAAGTTTTGTAGGGTTGGGATCTTTATGTGAAAATTGATTATGCTTTATAATATAAGTATAATCAAGAGGACATAATCAAGATGGCATTTCTACATAATATGTTGGAGACTGTTTTTAGTTAATTTCCATGTAAATTTTCTAACATTAATATTAAAAAACTGGTTGTATGACACAATGTCTCCGTGTACAAAACATGACAAATAAAACCATAAAAACAATTTCATTATAATAATTGAGGTAATACATAAATTACCTAAGTAAAGAAAATAAATTAAGAACCATGAGCCTGTATAATATAATTGATTCAATTGAATAGATAATTTTAGGATATTATGTAGCGTAAGTTTTTTTTATGTATTATTGTCAATACGTAAGGTCAGCTGACGAATTGTTGCAACATGTTATTATTTCCATATATTTTTTACCTTTATCGACTCCTTCCCTCCAAGTTCACAATCTTCTTGAGCATACATTAATGGTATTGTAGCCATTTTTGGTACTTTTATCAAATTTATGTAGAGTATTGGTAACAAAAACCTCTAATTTGTTTTTCGAGTCGTAAACTGTATTACTGTACGTGACATCTATGATGACGGTAATGGCTGATGGGTGACATTGACACTGACAGCTGACAGCACAGCATTTTTTATTAAGATTTTGGCTTGGATACTTTATTTAAAGAAGATCTTTTAAGCCATATCTTCATTTCATTCGGGATCTTGGTTTTTATAGATTTCCAGTATCAAGTAATAATCATCTTTTATAATACAATGCTTCACAATATGTTGATGCGTTACATTGCGTAGTTTTAAATATATAAGATTTTAATTGCAACTTGAGCCAGTAGACAGTTGGCGATAGTATTTCAAAGCAAGCAGACACATTATCTTGAGATTCACATGCGCAGACATTTAATACACAGAATCGCACCACTTTTACATACCAAAATCCACTTCAAACCATTAATTAAACAATAATAAAGGAGCAGCAATCCGCCGCTGATCAAGTTCCCGCCAAAACTACAGAGCACGGCATTATATTCTATGTATCACAGACTTAATAAAGTCTAGCTTGCTACATATTCAGTGGTTAAGCCCGTCTCACAAAAAAGTACCATTGACGTGGTGCTGCAATCATGCTCACAGACATGGAGTATAGAGTAGAAGGAGAACCATCTCATATGGGGGGAAAGTTGAAAAAGTGTCCAACTATATACTAAAATAGAGGTTTCAAAACCTACCACAATAGCGCTGGCGTCTGAAAAACTACGATATGAATATAGTTGTTGTAGACGGAGTGAAGTCAGCTGAATTCAAATATTTCAAAATTTACATGACTATCGTAAAATTATTTTGTCCGTGCAGTTAGGGTCATAAATCATAGCTCGGTCTCAGCCCGGCTAGGGCGGTGAGCATGTTGCGCGGGTGCAACGCCATTATCGATAACAAAGCGTAGAACATCTTCGGTTTGGAGGACCATGGGTAATTGCGTTCCTATCAGTATTTTTCAATGCTTGTATAAAGCATGCTTACTTACCGGTAGAAATGCTAAAAACGGTAATAAGTCCTGTTCTTAAATGTAAATTGAGTAGTTTGACCGACAGTGGTAATTATAGACCGATATCCATAGCTACAACTTGTGCTAAACTGTTTGACACCATATTATTAGGCGTTATTTCCAAATATATACAAATTAGCGATGCTCAATTTGGATTTAAAAAAGATAGTTCTACGGATGCGGCGATTTTTACTTTAAAGCAAACCGTTAGTTATTATAATAAGCGTAAAACAAATATTTATGCATGTTTCTTGGACTTAAGTAAGGCTTTTGACAGAGTCAGTTATGATATACTTTGGAGGTAGTTACGTGATGCGGGAGTGCCGTCATTATGTATTAACATATTGATCGCATGGTATAGTAGGCAAATTAATGTAGTAAAGTGGTGTGATACATACTCTGAGGAATTTCTCCTACAATGCGGTGTGAGGCAGGGAGGGCTAAGATCGCCTATGCTTTTTAATCTGTATGTTAATCAGCTGATCGAGGAGCTTAGCAGCACCAGACTGGGTTCTCACATTGGTTCTGAATGCTTTAATAACTTGAGTTATGCTGATGATATGGTGTTGCTGAGACCCTCGATTGGTGCGCTGCGTGCAATACTCCAGATATGTGAGAAATATGCAATGGATTAGAGATGAGACATACTTGCAAAATTTAATACCAGGGCTTCTAAGTACGAGTATGGAAAAATACCAGGGTCGAAAACCAGGTTTTAAAAATACTTGAAAGTATTTGTTAATGTCAATATATATATGAATGCCTAATTTGGTTCGGGCCAAAATTTATACTGTACCTTTTTAAATTTTTTTTGGTAACGAAATGAAATCTTTCCTTCCTACTTTTCGGCTTAGGACTCTTAATAAATAAAAGTTTTAAAACTGTCTCTAAACTCAATATACACGCGAAATAACTATTTAAAAATTAGGTCACGGTCAGTAGGTTACGTAATCAGTTCACAATAATAATTGAATTTACAAGAAATCGAAACAAAACTTTTACTTCCCCGAATATAAACATAATTCTTATTACTTACTAGCTACTAACGCGTGTCGTACGTACGTACGTACGTGTCCAGCCGCGGTGTCAGTTTGAAAATACTTGCAAAGAGTATAGTAATATATAAGTAAGAATACTTGCATAGGAATTCGACCCGCTTTCCATGTTAGGCTATTATGACTAAGGAGCAAATTCGTATAAATAAAAAAAATACTTTTAAGTTCAAAGTATTTTTAATTCACAAATACGATTGAGTTTGTTATTACTATTGGGATATGGATCATTTTCCTATGCAAGTATTCTCATACTTGCAAGTATTTTTTGGTCGTAAAAGGGCGCCGTACTTTAAAGTTAAAACCTGGTAGCGTAAATACGTCTCATTGCGACGCGAGGGACGTGTCCAGCCGTGGTGTCAAAATTTGAAAATACTTGCATAGGAATTTCACCCGTATTCCATGTTATCCTACTGTGAATAAGGAACAAAGTCGTATAAATAAAAAAAAATACTTTGAAGTTCTAAGTATTTTTCGTTAACAAATACGATTGAGTTCCTTACTACTATTGAGATATGGATGATTTTCCTATGCAAGTATTTTCATACTTGCAAGTATTTTTTGCTCGTACCAGGGCACCGTACTTTGAAGTGAATACCTGGTTTTAAAACCTGGTAGCGTAAATACGTCTCATCTTTACAATGGATCATAACCTATTGTACAACACCAACAAGTCTGTTTGTTTGCTTTTTAAGAGTGGTAGGGTTCAACCTCATATCCCCCCATTGCATTTGTGTAATTCACAATTGAAATGGATAACGACGTTTAAATACCTGGGTCATATTGTTACTCAGGATCTGTGTGATGGTTCCGATATGGACCGCGAGCGTCGTTCCTTGTCAGTGCGTGCCAACATGATAGCTAGACGCTTTCAAAGGTGTTCTTATACCTCAAAGCTGGCGTTGTTTTCAGCTTACTGTCAGCCACTTTACACTCCTCAGCTGTGGATGAATTACACTAAAGAGGAATATCGCAGGCTGAAGGTGCAGTATAATGATTCGTTCCGCGTGTTGTTCCGTCAGCCACGATACTGTAGCGCGTCTCAGATGTTCGCAGAGGCCCGTGTCGTTGGTTTGGATGCGTTGATCCGTCACCGTATCGCGCGATTTAGAAGTTTTGTTTTTGCGTCGCAGAATAATCTCATCAAAATTATTTGTAATATGTATGCATGTAGTGAATTTTTTAGTAGATGGTCAAATTTATTAAAATGTAATTAATAAAATGTAATAATATCATTGATTAACCAATAATTATAATTAAAATTTAAGGTATAGTTTAAAAAAAATTTAATTTTAATTTTGTAATGGATCTGTGTTGTCTGTATCAAATAAATTATTATTATTATTATTATTATTATTATTAAAAAATGAATCATCGAAGACGGTTACACGGTGGCGGTGCGGTATACAAATGATGAAAAAAAAATTGAAGTTGCCACAAAAACAGCTCTTTTAAAAATGCAGACGTCGAAGTGCTACTGCATAAAGCAATTTCAAACGTTTCGCAAAAGAATTGGGAAGATTGTGTGAAGCATGCAGAAAAACTCCAAGAGAAAGACTTGAAGAAATCGCATCTGGCAAAAGATATCGTAATTCATGTGGATGACGATGACTCTGATGATTCTGATGTAGAATTTTAATGTAAATAATTTTAGATTTAATTTTAGATATTATCTTTATATTTATATTTATTTTTAATATAACTTGTTACATTCCACGCATTTGTACTTACTCGTATAGTTTATAATACATAGATACCTAATTAATAATTTATTTTAAATCGTTATTATTCTTATTTTAATAAATACGTTATTTTATCTAATTTTTTTTTCATTTTTATCACTAACCCGCATAATGACAAAACTAAATACACTATCGATAAGCTATGCTCGCCCCTAACATCTGTGAGTGGGAGAGAGTGCGAAATACTCCAATGATTTATGACCCAAACTGCATGGACAAAATAATTCTAGTATAGAGTAGTTGGTAAAATGCCAGTATACAAATACTCAACTATTTACATAGTAAAAAACCAGTTCTTGTTTATTTCTACATCTTATTCTAATTACTTTTGGCACTTTTTTTAAATTTATCCTATGCTACCACAGCCCCAATAAGTGCGGCCTTTATTGGACGCGTTTTTACGGACACTTATTCTTATACAGAGATGGTCCTCCTTCTACTCTATACTCCATGCTCACATATTAATAAATATATATCTTTATATATAAAAATTACGTGTCATGTTGTTTGTCCGCGATGGACTCCTAAACTACTGAACTGATTTCAATGAAATTTTGCACACTGTGTGCATTTTGATCCAACTTGAGAGATAGGATAGTTTTTATCCCTATAAGTGACCCTCAATATTTTTTATTACGAATTTAAGAATTTTTATTAGACGCAGGGTTGTCGGAGAAGGCAGAACAACGTCTGCCTGGCCAGCTGGTAAATATATAGGAAGCTAGTCATCAGTGCTGCTGACGTAAAAATCTGAGCTGCCGTATGCCATAGTCTGGTTTGTCGTATTTTAAGAAAAAATACTAAATTGCCGTATATTTATTTCAAAATTATCTATTCCTTATTTGTTTCTCCCGGGACGGGAATTATTTCACTTGCGACCGTAACGTATTTTGATTTATTAAATTACAAATGTGCGCTTGATCGTACTTGACTCGTGGGTGAAACAATTATAATATACGTTACTAGAAGTGCGTCGTTTCATTTGCAACCTTTTCATACATTTTTTACCAAGGCGAAACAGATGGCACAATACAGCGTTACAACTGTATGTTTGCAGTTGGGATTTACCCGGTTTTTTCCATAAAAGTGGTATCAACGTGTGTTTCCTTGCGTTCATTACACTAGTGAAAGAACGTTTCG